AAACAGACTCATCCTGGAAAGGGTTAAATCGGGTGGCTCTTTGGAGGCAAGGATTCTGAGGCTCCGTCTAACATACTTTGGACATGTTGTAAGAAGAGACTGGTCCTTGGAGAAGGACATCATTCTTGGGAGGGTGGAGGGACAGCGCAGGAGGGGAAGGCTCTCTGTGAGGTGGATTGATTTGGTGACTGGGTTAGTTGGGATGGGAGTGTCAGAGACAGTGTAATTGGCACAAGACAGAGCAGAGTTTAGGGCTCTTGTACATAGGGTCGCTATGAGTCACAAGCGACTCGACGGCACATAACAACAACAACCTTGATGGGAAATAGTGGTCATTCAAACTAAGGTCTCGACAGTGGAGACGGTAAGGAGTGGCCAGTTTTTAAATACTTTGGCCTGAGCAATTGAAAGGGTGAGGCTGCGATAACTGAAGTGATGTTGTGGATTGGGCTACTAGGTGAAAAGTCAACACTTTGATTTTACTGGCTGCTGCACCAGTGAAAGATGGGTAATCTCTTCCCATAAAGATGTAGTAGACCTTCAAAACCCCAATGAAGAGTTGCTGTGATTTGGAGTCAGCTTTATGCCAGTGTGTTGGGTTTGCCTGGGTTGAGGAGACAGTTTGGGCATTTCCCTGGATTTCAGGGAAGGGGTTAAGGTGGAGAGTTTTCAGTCCCTGGATGATGCTTAAAGCAGTGAGACAGAATGAGATCACCAAGTAGGTAGCATGGATAGAAAGTTGGCCCAAACATAGCCATTGGGTACTCTTTGGGAGATCAAGGGAGGAAAGGAATAGCCAGCAGAAGTGTGAAGCAGGTGAAAATTTAGAAAGTGGGGTAATCTGAATGGCAAGTGAAGAAAATGTTTCCAGGACATACTGGAGTGGGATGGGATACTGAATCATATGCTGCTGACCAGTGAGCTCAGAAGTGGCTGGGTTTAGTTTTCTTAAGCCACTGGGAATCCTAATGAGTGGTTGAGGCGGTGATGACGTGCACCCATGTGTGGAGTGGATTTAGGAGATTAAGACATTATACAGAACAGAGAAATAGAGCAAAAGTTAGAGAAGAAAGTGACAAAGTAGATTGATTCTTTTTAGCTGGAACTACTAAGAGCACAGAATTATTGAAATGAGAAAAAAATTTAGTATTAGAAAGTAGGGAGAATTAAAATTAATAAAAAAATTTTTATAAAAAAGGAGGGAGAATTGCTTAAAAATGTCTTTGAGTAGGCAGAAGAGGTTGGGATTTGGTTGACAAGTTACCCTGGGGAAGAAGTGCAGGGACAGATAAGCCATCAAAACATAATCTGCTGGTGCAACCACTGTGGAAGGTGATATGGCGCTTTCTCAGAATAGTTGCAAATAGAGATACCATTTGACCCAGCAATTCCACTACTGGGAATATACCCCAAAGAGACCATAACTGACATCCAAGCAGATATATGCACACCCATGTTTATTGCAACTTTGTTCACAATAGCAAGGAGTTGAAAACAACCTAAGTGCCCATCAACAAATGAATGGATAGAGAACCTGTGGTATATTCACACAATGGAATACTACACTGCATTGAAAAATTAAGGAACTCATGCAATATTATTCAAAATGGGTGACTCTGGAAGACATTATGCTGAGTGAAGTATCTCAGCCACAAAAGGACAAATACTGCATGGTGCCACTGTTGTAAAATAAGACTGACCTTGGGGTTGGGGATAGACTGAAAAAGATGGGTTCAATCATGTATACTGCACTGAAACAGATGTGGGAGAAAACTGTTTAAAAGGGATATGTGATTAGGTATTTTTGTCATGACAGGAGTCTAGAGCAAAGGCTACATGGTGGAGTGGACCTGGGGGAGGGTTTGTAAAACAATGAAAGAATTATTCTTTTACTTTACCAAGAGGGAAGTACTGGGGGGGGACAGTTGGGAGGGGAGAAAAGTGCAAAAATGAATGAATGGAAATCCAAAGTCTCTCTAAATTTTTTTTACTGAAATAAGAAATTTAAATTAGAAAAACTCCAAAAAACATAATCTGCTAAAAACCCCAAAACCATAATCTGCTAGAAGTAAAGACAAAGGAGCCATAAGGACATGGTAGTGAGTTGTACATCATGGTGGGGTGTGGGTAAAGATTTGACTAATGCTCAGTCTAGAAAGATGAATGGTTGTCAGGTTGACAGAAGTGAGCAGGCAAAGGTAAATTTCGCATAGAAGAGCCAGCATGAGCAAAGGCAAGGAGGGTAGCACACTGTCCGTTGCTTCCAGGGCGCTGTAAGCAGTTTAATGGGCCTGAGTATATGTTTGTCTTAGAGGATGAAGGGTGGATTGATAGCAAAGCAAAATCACCTTGGAATAGCATCCTAGTCTATTGGAATATCCTCTTAGTACATTACTCCACTAAGGGGCAGCAGAGAGCAGTGAAAGGAACATAGTATTTGGAATCAAAACACATTACCTAGTTAATCCTCAGAGCAGTAGAGTATATACAGATATTTCACAAGTTCCATATGGTTTCATGAGCTCTGTGTGTTATCTTCATGCATCCTCTCAGTTCTTGCACATCTTGAAGTAGGTGCTATTATTAATCTCATCAGTGACTAAGTTTGCAGAGCTAATTAGTTGTTGTCATGTGCCGTCATGTCACAGATTCCAGATTTGAACCCACAGCCTGCTCTAATGTTTATGCTTTATTATTGGCTGAAACACTTCACTTAGAATCAGAAATTGGAGCTTAAATTAAAGCCCAGCTTTGTCACTTGTAGCTACTTTATTTGGGGCAAGGCATGTCTCCAAGTCACTTACTCATTTTTTAGACACTGATTCCAAGGATTGGGAAGACCAAATCGAATGTGACAGCATAATTAAATAGCTCTAAATTTATCATTGAATTATTTTCTTTTAATTTTTTTAAAAATTTTATTATTTTTTGTGCATGTACCATCAAATCAGATCTGACTGGTACAGGAGGAAGTTGTCCCTCCTTCTCCGGCAGAGCATTGAATTCTTAAAATGGCACTTGGTCCTCCTGCATGTCTTTCCTTGATTAGTCTCACTCATTTGATGCCTACTTAATTCTTGTTTTTGTCTCTGAATTTTATATTACTTGGCCTTATTATATCTTTTATTTTGGCAATTTGGGATGCCTCATCTTTCTTGATGACACTATTTGTACTTCGTTTCTATTAGCCTGGGTCCTGGGAGAACCTCTAAGGTCTGAGTTTTTGTTTTGTTTTGAAATAAAATTCAAATCACATAAAATTCACCATTTTAACCTTTTTAAAGTTTACAATTTATTGGATTTTCATATATTCATGTTGTTGTATAAATTGTCATTATATTTTCAAAATATTTTCATCACTCTAAAAAACCCCATATTCATCAAGAAGTTATTCACTGTTCTCTGCTTCTCCTAGCCCTTGACAACCACTAATCTACTTTCTGTCTCTATGGATTTGCATATTCTGAATTTCATACAAATGGAAACATATGTGCCTTTTTTAACTTAGCATGTTTCTAAGGCCCGTACATGTTTGTGGCATGTAGTGGTATTTAATTTCTTTTAATAGTTGAATAATACTCCACTCTGTGAATATAATTTATCAGTTGATGGGAATTTGGTTGTATCTACCTTGAGGCCATTATATATAAACAATGGTGCTATGAAAGTGCAACATTTTATTTGAACATGTTTTCTTTTTTATTTTATTTTATTTTATTATTTGTGTGTGTGTGTACCGTCAAATCAGATCTGACTGGTACCGGAGGAGATTGTCCCTCCTTCCCCGGCAGAGCACCTGGTGGATTCAAACCGCCTACCTCTGGATTGCAGTGCGGCTTCTTGCCACTAGGCCATCAGAGCTCCCCAGAACATGTTTTCAATATCTTAGATATACTTGTTGAGGAGCTACCAAACTGTTTTCCACAGTAGGTGCAGCACTATATGTATGTGGGGGTTCCATTTTCCCCAAACCTTTGCCAGTACTTATTTTCTGTTTTCATAGTAGTCATCCTTGTGGTTGCAAAGCTGTATCATTGTACTTGATACTTATTTCTTAATGAGAAATGTTACAGTATATTTTTTCATGCCATTATTTGCCATTTACATGTCTTCTAAGGTATTCAAGTTCCTTGGCCATTTTTTAATTAATCTTTTTGTTGCTAAATTGTAAGGGATTTTTATATACTTGAGATACTGTGTTCTTATTAGATATGTGATGATTTACAAATATTTTCTCTAATACTCTGGGTTGTCTTTACAATTCATTTTTTGTTCCCCCTGAACTTACTTGATGTCTTTTGAAACCTAAAAGTTGAGGTTGTTTTGTTGGGTTTTTTAAATGTCCAGTTTATTATTTTGCTGTTTTTGTTTTGCTTTTTTGAATTTTGGTTTTACTTTGTATTTTGCTTTGTTTTAGTGTCATAGTTAAGATAACTTTGCATAAGATCAGAAGGGAACACTGGTAGCCTAGTGGTAAGAAGCTGCACTGCAGTCTCAAAATCACATGGTTCAAATCTTCCAGCTGGTCCATTGGAGCAGGATAGGCAGTATTCTCCCTTGCAATTAACTGCCATTAAAACCCTTCTGAGGGCTCAGCTATGGGTTGGTTCTGACTTGATGGCTCATAACAACAAGAATGTCATGAAGATTTACATTTATCCCTATTTTTCTCCAAAGTGTTTAATAATCTTAAGTCCTAAATTTAGGTCTTTAACTAGTTTGAATTATTGTTTATATATGGTGTGAGGTAGGGGTTTGGTTTCCATTTCTGTACAGTTGGCTCAGTACCATTTACTGTAAAAGCTCTTTTTCCTTATGGGATGGCACCTTTGCTGAAAATCAGTTCATCATACATGGGTGAATTTACTTCTGAATTCTCTCAGTTCTATTCATTTTATGTCTTACACCATGCCAGTAACACACTAGCTGATTTCTGTAGATTTGTAGTAAAAGTTTGAAGATCAGGAAGTTCAAGTCCTCCATCTTTGTACTTCTTTTCAAGACTATTTGGTCTACTTGAGGTTCCTTGAACTTTAATATCAGTTTGTCACCCTCAGTGAGATGGATTGAAGGTGACTGCAGCAGTGAGCTAGAGTATGTCAGAGACTGAGGATGCACAGGTTAGGACAGAGTTCATATCTGTTGTTCATAGGGACACTATGAGTTGTACTCCATGGTGCTTAACAGCAGCAACAACTTTGGCCATTATTATCTTATTTTTGTGAACTGTCTTTCCAAGTCTTTTGTTAAAATATTTTCTTAGTTCCTAAATATTTTGTACATAAGTCATTTATAATTTGTGTGTGTGTGTGTGTGTGTGTGTGTGTGTGTGTGTGTGTGTGTTACAAATATTTTATGCTGGCTTGCTTTTTGATTTATTATCTTTTTTGAAGACAAAATTTTTAATTTAAGGCTAACTTGTCATTATTTCCTCTCCTATGGTCCTATTTCATTGTGTCCTATTTAATAAATGTTTATCTTATGCTAAAAAAATCAGTTTGTCAAGGTCTGGATTTAGCTTTTTAATTGTAAATATAAAGGTAACAAAAACAAAACAGAAAATATAAAGCTAACAAAATTTTGTGTTTCCACAAACTTAATGCATATAATTCAGTGACATATTCATTATGTTATTTCATTCGAGTTTTTAATAGTTTGCCATCAAGGACAGCAATATTGTCATTTGTTCCTCCTTTTTTCCTTTTTCCTAGCACAAGGTTTTATACCCAGTTATATGCTGAATGACAGAATAAGCAAACTGTATTTTGATTAATTTTATCTTCTAGGTGAACAACTTTGTGATCTTTGAAGGCTTCTTTGCCCATCAACACCGTAAGTTGTCTCACCTTTTATGGGTTGTGTACTTGGGGTGAGGGGAAGGAAACAGGTGGACTCTTGGTCCCACTGGCCCCCTCACTTAGGGGCACCACCACTTCCTTCCTCACAGGGCCCCCTGCTTACTCTCTGAGGGCAGCTCGACACGCTCGTGCTGCTGCAGTGGATTCTACTCCCGCTGGTAAACCTGCATTGAATGGGTTGAGCCGTAGTGCGGTGATGGCTAGTTGTTTTAGAGGCAGTGAAGAGTACATTGTTATCTGTGGGCAATTTTAGAGAACTCTAATGCAGCCCAACCTCTAGCAGTCATTACCTGGTTGCCTTTGCTCTCATGGGGACACAACACATTTTATACTTGGCAAGTCTTTTAAATAAGCAATCTCATTGAGAGCCTATTTGATAATTGATGTTGGGGGAGCCTCTTGCTGCTTCAGGTCCTTCAGAATATCGAGAGTCAACCCTTCTTTGCAAACTCCTTGGGTTTCTCTGAGTCTTTGAAAGACAGGCAAGTACAGAAAGCCTTTCTGTTTCTAGGCATCGACGAGGCAGCAAGCTTAAGATAACATGAATGGCCTAGAGTTTAAATAACTCATTTTAGAAATAACTCATAGGATTTTTTAACACTTCCAACCAAATAATGAAGTTGGTCTGGAGAAACCAAATAAAAGGATAGCAAAATGCTTCCCAGGTTCCTTTCTTATCCTCATTCACACAGATAGATTCCCTGCCCAGCTAAGACTTACTCCTTCCGCTTCCTCATATCCCATCAGTAGACAAGAACAGCCCTCTGCTGGCCGTGCAGTATGTCCTTCCACAGAAGTGCTCTCTTCCTGAGCTCACTTTGTGGCTAGCTCTCACCTTGCTCCATGGCCAGGATTACCAGGATCTAGTGTCTCCCAGTGGCTGGCACCCAGAGGTATCTAGTCTACATACATGATTGGATTTGGTCTCTTGGGCTCCTGTGTTCAAGTTCTTGCATGTGGGCTCTAAGAGGGAGTGAGCATGAACAAGGATGGTGAGGCCACAGCACAGAACTCAGGTCCACTGTAAGGGTAATGAAGCTTAAGTGAATGAGAAGTCACTCATTTGCCACAGACCATGGAACGGGAAGGGATAGGAGCAAGTGGAGATGTGAGAAGAGAGAAGCCCATGTTTTATACCATACACTGTCCTCCCATTTACTTAGATAACTCCTTTTTAAGATGTCCTTTTTAAAAAAAAAATTTTTTTTCTTCCTATCCTTATATGAGGAGGAGAGGCTCTGCCCCGCCCCTAACCTCTCCAGAGTAATTCCTGATTAACGAAGGGCTTTGTCCATCTCATCTAGAGGGACCCAGGGTCCTCGTTGGCCCAGCTGGGACCATTCCACAGCCTCAGAATCCCAGGGGGGCCTGACAGCGCCCACTTACAGTAAGAGCTCACCCTCTTTGGCTGCCCTTTTCCTGCATCTCCCAGGCCCCCAGTCACCCCTTCAGTCTTATTCCTTCAACTCTGTGTTTGGCCTACTCCTTCCGGCTCTCCTCAAAAGTGCTCCAGCATCTTCCCTAAAATCCCTCTTGGTGGGCTGGCATCACCACAGAGCTGAGTCTACGATGGCGCTCAACTATTCTTCTTCCCCAGGAGGAACTGGGTATCAGGGAGCAGAGGATTGGGGCTGTGGAGGGACTTGGCAGGGAGGAGGGACATAAAGTACATTTTCTGAGGCTGATCTGTGTTCCCTTCATCTCTAGCTCCAGCAAGGAAGTTGCCACCCAAGAGAGCAGAGGGAGACATTAAGCCATATTCCTCTAGTGACCGCGAATGTAAGAGTGCCCTGGGGAGAGGGTCTGGGGGACTTGAACCCACGGGAAGATAGTGCTTTGGGAGGTAATCCTGGGGAAGGAGTATTTCTCTCTAAAGGCTCTGCTTTCTCTCCTCCCCTCCCTGCCCCCATCTTTGCTGCCATGCCTTTTTATCTGCCTTCCTTTTTCTCTTTTGCCTTATCTTGCTTTTCACCCTCCCTCAGTTCTGAAGGTAGCTGTGGAGCCTCCATGGCCCCTAAACAGGGCCCCACGCCGCACCACCCCTCCAACACACCCACCGCCTCGCTCCAGCAGCCTGGGCAATTCCCCAGAACGGGGTCCTCTCCGCCCTTTTGTGCCAGAGCAAGAGCTGTTGCGGTCCCTGCGCCTCTGCCCCCCACACCCTACTGCCCGCCTTCTGCTTGCTACCGACCCTGGGGGCAGCCCAGCCCAGCGTCGCCGCACCAGGTAATAGAAGGGTTAAGGAGTCTCCGGGCTGTCAAAGGGGGTACAAGAAGTGACAGAGTGCATTTGAATCTGCCAGAGACTTGAAGCAGGAGGGTAGATAGATTGGAGAAATCCTGAAATTCTCCATGAAAAATATATGTGGAAGTCATCTGGAGGTAGTTTATAGTGAAACAGCAAAAAAGCACTTTAAATGGAGCCTGAGGACTCTTGTTTAAAATGACAGTTAGGGGTAAGGTAGGAAAAGAGCAGAGATCCACTGGGTCTGGGAGGAGAACTGCATCTTTAAGTTTGGGGCAAGTCCTGGCTTTACAATTGCTGGGGGAGGAGCACTATCTGACACACAAATTGGGGAGGCAATAGCTTCCTGTCAACACCAGTGTATCAAGAGTCCATCCCAGAAGTCAGGGAGTGGGCATCTCCTTGTCTCTCCCTGTAGCTTTCTCTTCACCTCTGATTGCTTTCTGTTTTTCTCTCTCCCCCACTCCCTCTCTCCCTCCATCCTGTCCATAACATCCTTCCACAGCTCCCTTCCTCGCTCAGATGAGAGTAGATACTGACAGACAACTACCCCCAGTTCCCTGAAAAGACCTAGGGTGGGCGGAGGAAACTTCCTCCCCTAAGACCCCTAGGTTTATTCTTCCATTGCATCTCCTAGGACTGGGAGAAAACTGACAGAGCCCATAGGATTCCCTCTTCTCGTTTCTTGGATGACTGGGTTGTCAGAGTCTCAAATGGCCTAGTGCTTTGCAGCTTTTCTTACCACAGAAAGTACTCCTTCTCTCCTGACATGGGCTCTGGATGCTTTCACCACAGATAGCCCAGTCTGCTGCCAGAGCCCTTAATTGGGCAGCTCATACTAATTACCCAGAGAAGCACATCTTGCTAGTTATCAGAGAACACCAGGAAAGTCCAAGGCCGCCCTCTGCCAGGGAAATCTCTTAAGGAGTCTGGTCCATGGAACGAATACCATGTTCTCTTTCCAGTGTCTACCAGGGATCTAATTATGTTCTGTGGTGTTTGCCACACTTTCCCTTCAGCCAGCTTACATCAACCAGTGAACTCTGCTTCAGAGCAGCAGGCGTTAGACCAGACAGGGACTGTTAGAAATTACCAGCTCCCCATATGAATCCACTCAGCATTGCCAAACTTCATTTCTCAAATGTTTTGGGTTGTGTGTATGTGTCAGAGAACCCCCAACCTGATACCTGATTATAGAGTAGATGAGGCTACCCCATCTTCCAGATTCATTCTCTAAGGGATTTTATTCCTTGGCAGTAGTTAATCCCAGCAAGCACTCTAGGATCACTCTTGGCCAGAAGATAAACCTGGTGTCAAGAAACAGTTAAGAATCTGGAATCCTCTGGTGAATCTATCTTTCCCTAGTAGCCAGATGCTAATGTATTCTTGTCATATTGAGATGACTAGGGACCATTTGTCCTCCAGTCTTTCTTTTCTCATAGCAAGAACCTCCTTCCCTGCTCCAGACCCAGGGTTTAGATGCATCCTGCCCCCTTCCCTCCTTGGAATGTGTGGTAGATCAGGTTACCTTTACTGTATCTCTCCAAATCCTTGGGAGCAGGATCTCCCTCACTACCAACTCACTCCTTACTTTTCTTCTCCTGCTTGGTGTTGTCTGAATAAAGTGTGAACTTGTCTGTGTTTTTTAAACTGACATTTTCAATGAGAGAAAAAAAAAAAAAAGAGGGCGGGGGAAGCACCACTTCAGAGTCTCAGCCTCTTTTGTTCGTTGCCCCTTGTGTCCCTGGGATCTCAGAGCCTCTGCCCTTCTCATCTTCTGCACCTCTGAGTTTTGCAGATATTCCTCCTCAGAACCTGAGCTCCCTTTCCAGGATCTCATGTCTGCCTTTCTCCATCTTCACTGCTGGGTCTTGTGGATTCAGAATGACTCATATAATCACTGGAGCCTGCAGTGTAGGCTTCCCTACCATTCCCTTGTCATCAGGAACCTCCAGCTCTCCAGTGATTTCTGCCCTCTACTTTGGGTCAGCCCTTGCTGAGAGGTCACAAATTTACCAGCATCTCCTGTATGTCCCATAGGTTGCACTTTCCACTCTGTAATCTCCTGCCCCTTCTATCCCAAAATCTTTTGTGATCTCTTTGACAGTCCCTTACTCCCATGGAGCATCTTAACAGTCTGCCCTCCATGCCAGTCTCACTCCCATTTCCTCAGTTCAGCCTTGCCATTTCCTATTTCCCCTCCAGTGTGAATATCTTACGCTTAAGGCAACCATGTTTTCCATCCCAAACCTCAAAACACCTGATCTTAACAAATTCCTATTTGCCTATATGTGACACTGTTTTTATGAAACTATTTAGATCACATTTAGCTACCCATTTAATACATTCTCCTACTAAAAAGAATAACAAATCAGGATTGCTCCAGAAAATCTTGGGGTGTGAAATGAGCTCCCTCCCCATTTCTGGAATACTGCTTAGATAAGAATGAATAATTATCCCCTTCTTACTGTTCTGTGCTCTTCTTTTATTCCTCTCCTCTGAATTCTCCATACCCACCCATCTTTCATCCTGTAGCCTCTCCCCATCATCTCCCATTTCTTCTGCAGGGGGATATCCCCAGGGCTGGTAGCCCAAAGTTGCTGCTATAGCCGCCATGGGGGGTTGAATTCCTCATCCCCTGATACAGGTAAGTAGTCACCCCTCTCACCCACCAATCAGGCCACATTCACTTCCAGCCTCAGCCTTTCGATGCACATGCCCACTATTTCCACAGGCAAGCAAGAATTGAAGCAGGGGGAACAGGAAACAGAGAATAGGTGAGGTCTGAGCCCTCCCCTGCCAACTATCACTACATATACCTCCCACCACCTTCTACTAACTCCTTTCTTAATACTCCTCTCAATTTAACTCTCATTGTAACTGAATCAAATCCAACATATAGTTGATTCTCCACTGGGTTTCCCAGGCCAATTACACAGGAGGAGATTGCCCATCTTTCTCAAGTGGAACTGCTGGTGTACTTGAACCGCCAGAGAGGCGCTGGCCTTTGGATTAACAGTGCAACTCCCTGTGATCTACTTCCTCACAAATCTTACTTTCAGCTAGATGTTAGCCCATTTCATATATTCAGCCTAATATTCTACAAACTTTTTTCTCCATAAAATCATCAACACCTTGCTTCTCTGTGGCATTAGCTTCATCACATGCCATCCTCTACATTAAAATCTGGCACTTAAAAACCAGAGTCGAGGTGCTGGTCTTAATTTTATTTGGTACTCCTATAATCCCGTCTCCACCTCCTAGGTCTGCCAGTGAGGAGCAGGCACCGGCCAAGGACAGCTCTGTGGAGGAACCCATGCACACAGGTCCCCTACAGGTCCAGGCCCCACCTGCCCCTGAGAGCATGTTCAATGCCAGGTTCATTCGAAACCTGCAAGAACGTCGCAGCACCAGGCCTTGGTGACTACAATTCCTTCCCATACCACCAAAGACAGTATAATTTTTCTTCCATTACAGCAGACAGCCAAAGCCTAGCCCGCATAATGGGTGTATTCATTCATTCATTCATTCAACAGGCTATGAATAATGTGGGAGATTTTTTAACCAGAATAATAAAAGTATTTATTTTTTGCCACGAGAACGATTCTGAAGCTAGTTCTTTCAATTCCAGTCCTCTTTTCTTTTTACCCCGATCGTCCAGCAGCGTATTCACCGGCTTTTGCCCAACTGACATCGCTGGGAGCGGACTGCATGCCCTGCGCAGCACAGCTCACTTACTGCGCAAGCGCTGAGGCAGCCGTCGACCCGGTGAGCGCAAGCGCATTTGCTACAAAACGAGCGCTGGAGCGCGTCTCTAGAACCCAGAGTGCGCACGCGCACATCATCTCCGTTTCTCTTTCCTCACTACTACCCCCCCCTTTTCCCCTTCACGAAGCCGGCTCCGGGGCGCGCTCACCCCTGAGAGGAGGCCAGAGCCCACACTCGGAAAACGCTCTCTTCAGCCCCGGGAGATCATGTACCAGCCCTGCCGGAGGACGGCCCGACGTGTCGGTTGCTGCCTCCGAGCCTACCAAGCTCGACCCCAGGTAAAGTGGAGATTGCGGGGGCGGGGAGAGACCCTCAGAACCGGCGCGTGGGGCCGAGCGCGCCCCGCCTCCGCGCAGGCGCAGTAGCGCTTGTCGCTTTTTCCCACCTGTACTGGGGATGCGTAGGGCGGTGAGGGTCTCGAGGGCTTGGCGTGCAGGAACGTCGCTTTTCGCGCGTCTTGGAGCGAGCAGGCGGGGTTGTTGTTGGCGCAGCCGGGTGCGTCTTCTTGTTACCCGGTCTGCGGTTACCTGATGCTGGAGGTGATTTGAAGGACAGGCAGGGGCGGAGAAGTTTGCCGCGGCGTCGCACGAGCCAGAGACCCCCGGCCCCCGCTTGACCGGCCGGCCTACCGCGCCCCGGAGCCGGCTCAGCCTCCAGCCGGCTAGCGGTGCAGCCAGCGAGGCTCGAGTGACCTGGTTCGGGCCCCGGCGTCCCTGTAGGCAAAATGGCCACACCCCCGGCAGAACCGGCGCCCCGGGGACACTGTCGAGGACAGAGGTACTCGCACGGCCGCCCTGCCTCGTTGGCAGTGGGACCCCGGCTGCTCGGGCAGCGGTGTCACTCGGCTCAGGCCTGATTTCCAATGACCTTGTCGCATTTTCGGTATTGGTGACTTTGGAGAAGGAACCCAGCCAAACCATTCCCGGTGTGTCTGTCCTTTAGAGAGGTTGAATCTGAGAACGGCTTACGTGTCTGTTCTACTTAACAAGTTGCGGAGTTTTATTTGCATTCATTAGCTCATATATTTCTCATAATAATGCACTGAGGCTTCCTTTTCTTACTTTGAAGAGCCTTTATAACACAGTGGGTGAATGAGTGCCTAGGGCTACATGGCAATTTGGAGCGGGGTGAAGAACGACTTCTCCTGTCCGCTTTCCTTTCCTCTAGACCATATTTGCCTAACACACTCAGTCATGGAATTGTGCTGTACGCTAGATTATTTCGTTTTTAGTACAATAAAGCTTGTTTATTTACCTGATAATTCATCAAGCCTATATTCTCATAATAACATGTCTTGAGAGATGTGAAATTGTCCCGAAACACTGCTGGAATCTTAACATGTGAAAAGTGTTTTTGACTCCTGTGTATCATGGAAGCCATCTGAAGTGGCGGAGGTGGGGACTCAGGTGAGACTAAGGAAATCATTAAGCAGCTGAATTCTTTCCCTTTTCTTCTCAGGACCAGCTTTCTCCACGGCCTTTACCATTCCCACCACTTTGGCCTCACTCCACAACTAGCTCTGCATCTTCCCCTCTCTTCTGGTGTCTCCCACTTTCATGCTCTTCTTCTCTACCCCGTCCCCAGACTCACCCACTACCTCTCCCTCAGATCCAGGCCCTCAGCTCACCATGGGTTGTTCTCCCACCAGGAAATGGGGAGGAGGGACTGGGACCTGAGTTGCACAGGGGCTGCTTAGATGGGCTTAGAAGTCTCTTTGAGGGACCTCCTTGCCCCTATCCTGGAGCTTTGATACCCTTCCAAGCCCCCGGGACCACCCATTCTTCCCCTGCCACTCCATCAGGAGACCCCAGTATGGAGGAGCACCTGGCTGTCATGTATGAGAGACTGAGACAAGAGGTAAGTCGGTTTAAAAGTGGTTTTCATCTGTAGTAAGAGGGATATAGGTAATTTTGGAAATAGGGGGCTATTTAGCTGAGTTCTTTCATGAAGCACACATAATAAACATTCTCCTTAGGAAAAGAGGGTTCTTGGTTTGGGTTGTGGGCAGTTAAACATAGGACAAGATGACTTTTCATGCAGAAGGAAATGAAAGGGCACTAAAAAATGAACAGCTGAGAGAACATTTTTCCCCCTTGTTCCACCTAGCTTCCCAACATCTTCCTTCACTCCCACGACTATACACTCTATTCATCGGATGTGGAATTCATTAATGAAGTCCTGAACATACGTACCAAGTGAGAATCAGGGCGCTGGGGAGGAAATGGCTCAATGTATGTATGTATGTACCCAATCTTTTTTACTTTACTTTCCAAGTATGCTAAGCTGCTTTTCACAGCTGTTTCCCATTCCTTGGGCAGAGACCATTTTCATTTTCTTACTCTTTACAGGGGTCGAGCATGGTACATTGTGTCACTGACCCTCTGCCGTTTCCTCACCTGGAACTATTTTGCACAGTTTCGGTTAGAGATTCTACAGCTAACCCGCCACCCTGAGAACTGGACCTTGCAAGCCCGTTGGCGCCTTGTGGGGCTGCCCATCCACATGCTATTTCTGCGTTTTTACAGGCGTGACAAGGATGAGCTTTACCGGTAAGATAATCAGTTTCATATTCTTTTAGGAACGTAATAATCTTCCAGACCACCCTAATCTACTCTAGTTTAACTGCAAGCTATTCAGGGACAGACATGGTCTTTAGTCCAATGTAACAAAAAAGGGACTTGAATATATTAGGAAACTTCTCAATTTTCTGTTCTTAATATACATTATTTAGTATATGATAGGTACTTAAATGAAAATTCCTGTCAGAATTGAGCCTCACAACTTGAGTAGAATCTCAAAAATTGTTAGGCTTAACTTTTAACATGCTTTTTAACCAGTGGTTCCCAGATCTTGCTGCATAGTGGAGTACCTTAGAAATCTCTTAAAAAGTACTAATGCTAAACATTTGTAATGAGGGTATCAATGATCGTTAAAAAGTTCCCAAGATAGGCTAAAGTGAGCAAAGAACTACTAGTTTAAACATGTTTTTATTAAAGGGGACTGGTCACCTTCTCCCTTGGTAAGCCTCTCATTTCTCCCTTCATCAGGACCTATGATGCCTATTCTACCTTCTACCTGAATTCCAGTGGTCTCATTTGTCGCCATCGTTTAGATAAAGTGAGTCCTAGGGTGGATGGGGTAAAGGGATAGAACATCTGTGAACTGCTTTTTTAACATTAACCTTTCTGCCTATAGCTGATGCCTTCACACACTCCCTCTGCGCCTGTAAAGAAGCTGCTAGTGGGAGCTCTGGTAGCCCTGGGGCTGTTGGAACCAGAACCCAACTTACACCTGTATTCCAAGGCCTGAAAGAGAACTAAGGTGGAGGCAGCACTGAAGACTGTTAACGCACAAGACAAAGGGTGGAGGCAGCCAAAAATCTGAGTCCGCTGCTGCCTCTCATCTGTTTCCTTCCTTTCCTTCTCATGATGTAAAGCTGCTATGTAATTTAACTTGTAAATAATAAAGCTAAAGAGAATATGGGGTAGATTTTCCATGTTATTTTGAGTCCAAACATGCTTTATTAAAAAAATAATTTATTTAATACATTAACAATGTACAGAAGGAGCTAAGCTTAAGCTCTGCTTTACCCTAGCTCTTCTCGTGTCTTGCCTATTTTCTTGGGCATTTTCTTAGAATGAGGATCTTCTAACTCCTTGGCCTTATAATAGTGAGGGGCCACTTCCAGAAGCCAACTGCTCTCAATCTCCAATACCTAGAAGGAGAGAAGAGATGAATAATATTCCCTCCCACCTATTTTAGATTCTCACATAATTAAAATGTTTTCTTTTTCCTGCTTTGACCCAGGACTAGGAATAAAGGTTCCTGGCTCTATTACTCTAACAAAAAAACAAAGATAAACTGCATAGACCTTCCCCTTGACTCATTGCCATGGAATTAAAACCAACTCAGCTGACCCTCCAACACATTTCAGAACCTATAAATTACAGGAGAAGACTGCTCATCTTTCTCGCTCAGCAACTGGTGGACTAGAACTTCAGGGTTGGGAGTATAGCTCTAACATTAGGGCCCCAGAGTGCCACAAAGTCCTCAGGAATTTGCTAAATGACCCCTAAGAAAAGCCTGGAACCTAAAATTAAGTTTGCCCAACGAGAGCAAAGACTTCAATAATGTTTTCCACTAGCTCCCCCACCTAAGACATTAAAAATAGTGTATTTACTGAACCACCAGAGTTCTGACCAGATCTTAGAAGATGCAGAGACAGTTACTAGATGTTTTTTTTTGTTTTACACTTCTTGCTGATCTTCTCTGTATCGTTCCAATTTTAGTATATGTGCTGCCGAAGCGAGCACATTAGATGTTTCTTTTATCCTGTTTAAACCAGCCTGTGAATATTCATTGGTTTCCTCTGCCTGTCCTAGCAACCTGAAACTTCTCACCTTTCTGGACCATGTTCCCACACACTCTTCCACCTGCCTGCCCCCAGTGGATGGTACCCTCACCTGTCTCATAAATTCCTTGGTGGTCAAGACAAGTTCATGGTAGAGCAGCCATCGTGGCTGTTCATCAAAGAGGGAGGAGTTGGGATGAATGAACACTGTCTGCTGCTGTTTCACTGTGCGATAACCACTGCGAGTCAAGCGTGCTGTGTGATAGAAGTAACCAGCGGTGATGGCCTAAGAATAAGGAACACACAGGAGACAAAGTCAGACATCAGGGAACTGTGGAACTTCCAACCTCTGGATCTTCTGGAGAACAAAATTAAGGAAGACGTGAACCTGCTGAGAACCAACCTCCAGTGGTCTGGGAGAACACATTTCCCACCAGAGGAAAGGCCACTTGTTTAGGAAGAACTGCTGCATGCTCCCCAAACTTAGGAGCTTGCTATGTGGAGGAGGAGGTGGTGGGGAACAGAATGAAGGGGTACTGACCTTGCGGACTCTGATGTAGTCCCCCTGGCAAGAACTGAGGCCAACTTCTACGCGTTCCAAGAGCCCCTCTAGCTGTTCCCGCACATCCCGGGCTCGGCGCATAGATCTGAACTGTACGAAGTTCTCGTAGCACCACTGTGAAGAGTAGCCGCTCTCAGCCCACTGTGAAGGTTAAAAAAGGGTTACATATACAGCAGAACTAGAATCCCCCAGCCTCTCATACCCATTCACCTGAGTGCAGTGACCTGTGTATAAACGTTAAGTAGAACCAGGTGGTCCCCACCAGGGAGGAAGAAGTTGACGCGGGCATTGTCAGCATGGACAACCTTGTCCTTGGGCCGGTAGAAGATGGAGTTGTTGACAGAGAGCATGGCAGCCACTGTCAGGATCTCCTCTGAGCAACTGTACCTGGGCCAACAAGATAACAATATGAGTGCTCAAAGAAAACACACAAGAACAAATATAAAGAAGAAAATCATATAACCAATGACTCCCCAAGTAAGTTGGGATAGTGGCTATAAGTCAGAAAGTAGACAGATTTTGGTGATGGTAGCCCTAGCAACAGTCAGTGAAGGTGGGAGGCAGCAAACAGTTACACAGAAGTGATACCCACAGAGGTAAATGTAGGGTGGGTAGGAAGGCACTGGAGGCTTCTCCGAGACTCGGCAGTAGGAATAGGTGCACTATGCTGAGAGAGGAAGACCACACTTTTCTTAGACCATAGAGATTCCGGACCTCTACCAAGGCATTTGAGGAATAACATTTGAAAGTGGTCATTCTACAACTACACCAAGTGTTCTATGTGAAACATGAAGTAAGTGACAAACTAACCACCATCTAGCACCTCTCACAGAGGGAAAAATCCTTTCACTTTCTTTTGTTGTTAGGTGTCAGTCAAGAACAACTCATAATGACCCTATTGACCCAAGAGATCTGAACTTTGTCCTATCCCGTGCTATCCTCAATCTCTGACATACTTGAGCCCACTGCTGCAGTCACTGTGTCATTCATATGGCTGAGGGTCTTCCTCTCTTTTGTTGACCCTCTACCTGTCCAAGCAGGATGTCCCTCTAAAGGGACAGGCTCTCCTAGCAACATGCCCCAAATATGAGACGAAGCCTCCAAGGAGCATTCTGGCTGTCCTTGAATTTCCTGTGACTGTCAATTTCCCCCATTTGATAGAATAATTAAGGACAGGGGAGAGTTTTACTGACTCTTGTGAACAGAAGACATCTTTCTGTGAACTGAACTCTTGTCCCTCAAAAGGGACAGTATGAATTCTCTAGTAGAAATGAAAGGTCCAGAAACAGGAGGCACAGCCTGGTTGTGGGCTAAGGGGTAGGTGGTAGGGACTTACTTCTCCGAGGCCAAGATCATCTTCGATAGCATGGGGTCCACCGGAAGCTCTGCCATCTTCCGACCAGACTAAGAAAAGGAAAAAGAGTTGAGGTTCCGCCTCCTCAGGTTCCCTATAGTACTGGGGTTCCCAGAGCACCTTTAACCTCCTCACCCTGTCCTTTAACCCATGTTGTCCTTTCATCTCACCGTGGTGAGCTCCCCGAGGTGGTTGAGGGCTCCCAGAGCGTACAGCTGCTCCAAAGCCAGCAGCAAGGTCTCGTATGGTGGAGGGTCCAGGAAATCAAAGTGCATTAGGTCATGAATCCCTAAAAGAAAGATATAAAAGGAATCTTGACACTCTACTCAAGCTTCCACCTCTCTCAGGAGGACGGGGAGACTCAATTACCTAAGCTCTTGAGCAGCAACACAACATTGCCCAGGCTGGTCCTCTGGATCTCAGGCACTGTGGTTTCCTCGAGCTCATGCTGATAGGCCCAGGCGGTATACAAGCGGAAGCACTTCCCGGCAGCCACACGACCTGCCCGGCCAGCACGCTGATTGGCTGAAGCCTGCAGAGACAAGAGAAGACAGCTGAGCTGACAACAGACAGGGAATCATTCATGTCCCAAATCTGAGAGTATATGAACTGTTTATTCCTCATCTTTGATGAAAGCCCCACCACTGACTTGTATCTTCTCCCTAGGGTGATCTCACCTAATCCCTGGGAGACCAGGCTGACCTTGCTGCAGGGTGTGACTGTGAGGGACTCCATGCCTGTGCGCGGGTTATAGCTCTTTTGTTTACAGAATCCTGGATCCAACACGTAAATGATGCCTTCAATGGTGAGGGATGTTTCAGCGATGTTTGTTGCCACAACCACCTGGAAGAGAAGATATAAGTCACTTCTAGATGCTGCCCACATAATTTCCTAATAAAATCCTCCTAAAGAGTTAGGAGTAGAGATGGAGATGCAGATGAAGGGCAAGAGAAGAAGCGGTTAGGATCCAAAGTCAGGAGAAGAGGACAAAGCCAATGGAAAGGTGAGCTAAAAATGGGTCAGCAAGAAACGGGGAAAGGAAGTGACAAAGATTATTTAGGGCTTATAGCAGAAATGAGACATGAGGCTATCCAGATCCCTATCCTCTCTACACACTACTTTCTTCTTTTTTTTTTTAGCATTTCACAAAAATTAATAGAATGGGGGGAGTGTTTATTTTTATACTATTTTATTTACAAAATTCAAATATACTGTTTTTCACACCAAATCATTCCCATTTCCCTGACCCTCCTACTCATCAGTCTATATACTAATTTCATTAAATCTTCACAGATCACTTCCTGTAACAGCTTCCCAATACTTCTCCCCTCCTTCCAGCCTGCCCACCCCCCACCCATCTGTCTTTATGTGGCATCCAGAATGATTCTTTTAAAATGTACACTTGTCATTTCACTTTCCCATATTTCAACAGGTTCTTATCCTACTTTAAAATTAAATCCAAACTCTATAATCCTCTATCTTCTGGCCGCTGGTTACCTTTCTGATCTTATCTCTTAGGTCTCTACCCCCACCTTCATTGCTCCCCTGCATGCTGGCTGCTCACTGACTTGCCTCTGCACAAAGTGTTTGCTCTGCTAGGAGCACAGCTCTCCCAGATACAGCCTCGCTCCCCCTCTCATCTGATGCAGGTCTCTGCCTTACTTCTACCTTATTATAGAAGACTACCCTATACTCCAATAAAAATAATCTAGCTGCTATCTCTTACCAGCTCCCTGTAGTTGGTCTGTCTTCCTGTGATGCTTTGCAGCTCCTCAGAGTACTCAACACAACTGACATTACATATTTACATGCCAATTACTTCCTCCCATTGGATTAAATTCTGTGAGGCTAGGGCTTTGTTTTGTTCATCAGAGTATCCTTATCCACTAGAGCAGGAAGAACTTGACTGCAGTGTAGTGAATTACTTAATATGGCCTTTTAGTCTTGGTCCTTGGACCCTCAACAAATAACTGGGTGGGACTATGCAAATGAAGGACTTATGGTGCATCAAGGGGATTAGCTTGCTAATAACATAAATCTGA